AGCTTACATATATTATATAGACTTTCTCATTTGGGCTTTTTCTCACTCAATACTAAGTTTTAAGTTGCCAAAAATCACAGCTACCCTTTCAAATTCTCAAGTTTTATGTGCAACTGTGATGACAATTGAATGAGAAATTGACTAAAGTGAAAATATTTTACAGTGTAAAAAGTCCTGGTTTATTTGAAGCCATAATTGTTGTTTCTAGTAGCAAATGATTACTATTGATTGTCTGATTGACTTTAATTTCATGATATTTGATCCTAGAAGTCAATATTTCACTTACTTACTGGCAGTAGACATTATCTGTGGTTCTAGCATAAAAATAAAGTCTTACCTTCTAACTTTGGTTGTTATGAATTAAATATGAAATTTTAACCTATCATAAATAAATAAATAAAATTCTACCAAGTAAATTGTCCATCATTATCCTAGTATTTACATATTAGAACCATGTGGGACATATTATAGGCATTGATATATTTTTAACACTGAAAACAAACAACAGCAGAATAACAAGAATGAATGAAATGTTGGTGCTTTTTATATTCACTTGGCTAGAAACCAGTGTGAATGATGAAGCTATGGCACAGATAAGTGAGGACATATTCTAGTAAGCGTTTTCCATTTCTTCTTTACATCTTTAAAAGCAACCACTGAAGGCAAAAGGCTGCGTATCAAATTAACACTAATGAAATCAACACTAATAAAATCGACACTAAACCTAAATATGTTTTATTTTAATCTGGCCTACGAAAATTTGAATTATGTTATCTGAAAATTACCTGATGATGACCGTTGATAAGAGATACAAATTTCTGGATGACTAATTATAAATAACCCCGGATAATTTGGAGGTAGTAAAGCATATGTCTACTTTACTAGGTTATAATAAATGTTTTAATACTTTTATTCACTTGAATGTTACATTTTATTCATAATTCTATAATAACATATAGTTAAATAAATCAACTAAGAATAGGGCTCTGTGGAATTTTTTTCCAGTGGATTCTATCAGGTAAAATATTTGCAACTGCTATAAAACCAGAGTAATAAATTTTTAAACACAATTTTCTGATTTAACTAACTTTATCACATGGCACTGTAGGACCTAGATTATACTACAGCAATAACAAGACAACAAAAATCACATGTCCCTGGAAATTTACAACCAGTTTTCCAACTACAGTTTTAAGAGATGAGTCAAAGCAGGGACTATATGCATATGTTAGTTTTGTGGTTGTTTATTTTTATATAGTTTAACCCAAAATGGGAGAAAAGATCAGTAATCAAGACAGTCAAAGTTGATGATGCCCATAAGCCTAAACAAAAGTAAGCCAGGACCTACTCGGCCACATACTCTCATGGCTACAGAATATGTCAAATGATGGATGCTGTCCACACCTCCTTTGGTCATACCATTCATAAAAAAAGCTCATTGATTCTTTTTTCTTTTCATTAAACTTAACAGATCTTTGAGAAACCAAATCACTTTAATTCCCCAAGTGGAAAAGTTCCACTCTAGCTAAAACATCTTAGATCCTTGTAATAATTTGCTCCTGTCTGTGTTCATGTTAAACAGTACTCTTGAATGAACCAAAATCGACTGCATTCTAGGTAGTAAACCAGGAAGTAAATGTTGTAAGTAGCAGTTGCCCCTGCTCATTCTCATAATTTCTCTCTCATAATCAAATGATATTTAACAATAGCTTTAGCAGAGTCAAGTTTTACACTAAGAAAATGAGTTCTTAAACTTCAAGTTAGTTATAGCCTGAGTGACAACATAAAAGGATGATCATTTTAAAAGCAAACTAAATTACATGATTTGAAACAATTACTTAAAAATATTAAATGCGATGATGAAGCAGATATTTACATTTTCTTTTTCTATTTGCTTTTTCTTTTCATAATGTAACCAAGTAATATTTCTATTTTCTCAAGGACATGAAGTAAAAACCTGAGCTGAGGGTTAAGGAAAGAAGAGCGCTTCAATGAACCCCTGCTAAGTAGTCTTTTTTCTAATGTAATATTAAGGGCTTAGTTCATGCATTTACATTTGGTTATATAACAAGTGTTTGACTAAATCATTGTTAGGAAGGCTCATAATATGGGGATAACCGTCACCTCAAGAGTGAACTCCCTGTTTTGTTCACTCGTGGTAGCAGCCCATACAACACCGACAATAATACTGAAGGAACCCAGACCATCACTCCTATAGAGACAGAGAAGCCAGAATACAGATCTCAGGTGTGGGGAAGGTCCTTCATCCCTCCTGCTTCATAAGCTGTATGTGGGGAGCCCAAGGATCCTTGGGTGATGCACACCTAACTTTGCCAGCCAGGGATGGGGAAGTAGAAGGGGGTGTTTTCTATAAGTTTAAATGACAAACCAGAGCATGGTAAACCTGAAAATAGCTGTCTTCTAGAGGCATCCTGACAACACAAGTAACTAATTTTTGAGACAATTAACTACCCCTTAAAATAACTTTCACTTCAGGTCTGATTTGTGTTTGCTCAGCAATGCATGAGACTCTTGTCCTACTGTTACAAATAGCTATAGACTCAGGAACAGCCTTTCAGATGAGGTCCTTTATACTTGTTCAAGTTCCACAGGTTCTTCCCTGGACTTAGGAGAGCATGTTTGACATTTTGAAGAACCACTTGGTCAGTCTAGTTAGTGAAGTTGGCCTGATGGCTAGTTTTCCAGCCATAATGAGAAACAGCTATTCCTCTACATGGTTTCCACTGGATTATAGAAATATTACCTAAAAATCATCTATAGTATGTTATCCTTTGGAGTTGATATAATTTTTGTTTTTGATCAGTAACTACATGCTCTTGGTAGATAGGACATCTATAACCAATAACAAGTTCCTAAATTATTTCATTTTGCAACTAGTAAATTGTGTAACTCAAAAAGGTCAAATTTTAAACACAGTAAAGGCCACAATAATGTACTTAAGAAGAAAGGTGAGTCTTTTTATAATTCTATAATCAGTTTTCCTAAAAGCTCAAACACTTAATATATAGTAAATAACAATCAAAGCCAAATATATTTTTAAAAGAAGGGTTATTACAGGAATCTTACAGCTCATTATAAATCATCTGTATTGTGATTCTCATTCAAGGTACGTATTGTCTTTTCTGTTTGATGCTTTATTCCCTTCTGACATATTTCAATCATTCTCCAAAAATATTTCTACCTTGTAGTGAATTTGACTATTTGAATACAACAGTTAATAGATATGAGGAACCAGAAGAGAAATCCTTGATGCCAGATACAGCGAATGTTTTTATTATACCTCATAGCCTGTGAGAATCTATTTATTGCTAAGAAATACCAACTACTTATATGTAATGTTAAAATAACCACTAATATTTTAGTGTGATAGTGACTTTAAATTACAGAGACTATATCTGTCCTTGCTTATTCTCCCTTATTCCTGCAGGTAAAATCCCACTAATAAATCAAGAATGTGCATAAATAAAGCATATATTTAAAGACATGGCCTTGCAATGACTGTTATTCCAAAGCAAGAATGTTCAAGGGATTTCTAAGAAAAGAGATCCACTTTAAAAATAGCCATCATTTAATAGAATTCTCCTCAATTGTGTGGTTCTTATATGGTTATTCTCTTTTCTTTCTCATAGTTCTGTAAGAAAAAGCAATTATTATGTAGCTTGCAATATGTGTCATTTGTCTTATAATTACAATAGATGCTCATTCTCTCTATAAATACTTATTGAAGAAGCAAATAACTGATCACTGCCAGGAAAGCTAAATACAGGCAATGCTGTCTAATTTGAGATTATCTATTCTTTCTAGTCTTCCTTCTGGCTGTCCAATTACATGACACTTGATGTGTACAAGAGTTATGAAACAAAAGAATGATACTTTTTTTTGTTTTATTTAAAAACAAAACTAGATTTTTGAAATGCAGAACAATTCAAATGATTATGTGAAGGAAATTTTGGGGTGACCACATATTTCTATTCTCTGTATTTTCAACAGAAAGCTGAAAATCTATAAACCAATGATCACTCAAATATTTTTCAATAATGGTCAAATGACTTCAGTAGTTTTTCATTAAAATAAAATAGTCTCTGAAAATGTAAAATGACCCACCCAGAATTTAGTTTTGTAAGAAAGTGATTTAAGATGATAGCACTTAGGTCAGTGGGCCAGCATCTGGCATGGGGCCCTTAAGATACACCATCCACCTTTCTCCACCTTGCACTGGGCTCTGGAAAACTGACCCTTACAGGTGTCACCCACTTCACGGATTCTCAATTTGTTTTGGCGAGTGGGAGTCCAGTAGGAGAACTGAGGGCTGGAGGATGGGGAGGTGGAGGAATTGGTTGCCCTGGCTCTCCCTTTATATGTTGTCTTGGGCTGACTGTGTCCCTCAGCTCCTACCTCCAGCCCTCTCCACACTGTTTCTCTGCCTCTGGGTCTGGTATAATCACATGAGGTTTAAGGAGTCCACTGTAACCTGATCTGGGCTATTATTCTTATAATTTGCCCATACCTTTTAAACCATGCCTTTATTAAACTCTTTAAAATTAATCTAATTTTAGTATGCCATCTCTTTTCTGTGGGATCCTGACTATTACAGTAAGTTCTTATTTGTTCCTTCCAAAAAAATGCCACTGAAAAACTAGGTACACATATAAACAAAGCATTTATTTAAAGACTTAGATACTTAGTGGATCAATGATATGATAATATAAAAATATAATGCTTCATAAATGTTTGAATCATATCAGGAGAATTAATTTAACTAGAAAAGTCTAACTACCATGCAATTAAGTTTAGAAAGATTTCCAACAATCATCAATATATTTAGCTCATCTTAACTGAAGCAAATATTTTTAGTTATTTCTATAAAATTATTGAATTTCTTATATAGAATATATAAACAAGTTAAATATTCCATTTCAAAATATGTTTCAAGAACAATATTTATTTTTACAGCTGCATATGTAAAGAGACATATTTACCTTTTCACCAATTTCTCCTTTACTGCCTTTGAAACCTTGCTCTCCCTGTAGAAGAGGAATATGATGTGAATAGTAATAGGAACAATACTTATAATGCATGCAATTTTTACAGTAATAATGATAATGTTTCTAATAATGAAAACATCAATAATTATAATACAAAGAACCATTTTATTATATAATCTCTAAACCAATATTAAATTACATAAGATTTAAACATTTCTAAATACTTTCTAAACACTAGAACAATCTTCTAGTGTTTAAGCTATAGCTTCACTACTTTGAAGCAATGTAATCTTCATAAGCCTGAATTGTGGACTGGATAAAGTAAGTATGATAATAGTACTTCATTCACTGTTTTTTTGTTTTTTTTTTTTTTTAGAATTGAATGTACCTGCATAGTATATGACTCAGACTGTTAACCATCTTGTTATTATTACTATATATTTTATTATATCCAGTAGTAACATCCTTCCTAGAAAGCTGACTTCTATGGAATTCCATTCTAGAGAGAGTTTCATGATGAAAGAGTTCAGGTTTGAACACTGGAGTTCAGGCTCCAGCTCCAACACCAGTGCCATGTTCTTCCCTGCTCTTTCTGTGACTAAAGCAGTCACAGAAAGAGGATCAGTGGCCAGAAGGCTGCTGGCTCTCAATCACCATATTTATTCTAAAAGGTCTAAGTCCTCCTTTCTTCAACTAAACCCTCTCTGATCTGACAAGCTTATTTCCTCCACTCAATTCTGCACAGATATTGAGAGTACTGATGTTCCATTCATACATTCAACAATAATGAAAATGTTGAGCACCTCCCATATGTCAGCACTCATGACAACATAGCCAGAAAGTGAGTGCTAGGGACAGGTCATGTGCATCCCTCTACCCTTGGATGGCCTTGAACAGAAAAGGCACTCAGTAAGCATTTCCTGAGGACACAGAGTAAAGCATTTCTGATCTCCAGTTTTTTCTGTAATGGTTCAACAAGGTAACACTTGGTATAATTAACATTCATGTTAATTATATGAAAAGGAATGCCAGCTGTTTAGTATACACATATACATATACACACACACACATGTATATATAGTTTGTGAGTGTATTATTTTATATACACATATATACACATATATACCCACATAACCAAATGCATGTATATGGTATGTGTGTATGGGTATGTGTGTGTGTGTGTACATATGCAAACTCAGACATACACAATTAAATATTTCTGTTTCATCTACTCTCAAGAAAGCTATCAGGAAAGAAAACAGGTTAGTTATTAGGTATTTTTTACCACTGATTGCACGGTCTACCTTTCTCTCCACTTTTCCTAAAATACAGACTTTAACTTGATCTATTAATTCAAGCTGACACTGAAGCTGCTAAATGCCTCCAGTATATCAGCCACGATGTCAGCATGATGCAGCCACCACAAACAGCTGCTGGAAAGTCCAAAACTATTTCCCAGCAGATAAATCTGCACATCCCTTGGCTTGCAACTCGACTCACAGATGCAGCACATGCTGTATCAATGGGTTTTGTCTAGAACTGCTGTGAAGAAATTCAGAAACTTGCCACTTCATTGCTGCCAGTTCAATCTTATTATCTTTCTTAGGCCAAATAACAGAAGATTTTCTAAAAAGCTGGAACTATAAGTGCATGTCTTTTTAAATTATATTCTTAGCCACACAGAAACTACTAGATGCATAGTAACTTCTGACATTTTGTTGCTGGGACCTATAAAATTTCTCCAGAACATAGAAATGATGTGCTTGGCCTTGGTGGGCATCTAATATTGCATCAATATGCTCTCCTCTGTGTGGAATTATTTGGGTGGTTCAGGCCAGCTGGCCCCACTTGAAGTAGCTCCCCATCCTTCCAAGACAGTGGAATATACCCGCTCTCTGTTTCCAGTAACGCTGGTCACATGCAATCATGCTCCTTCCCAGAAGGAGAAAGCAGCCTTTGGACAGTAAAAGTGTCCAAAGGAAGTTTAACTTGGTAAAGAGAAAGATACTATGCACTGAAGAAAGCAGGCTAGCCCATGCAAAACTCCTTACTTACAAAATTTTTCTGAAAGAAAGATATTTTCTGAAGGGATTAGTAGTCTATAGCATCTTTGTAATATTTAACATTTTATGTCATTGTAACTATTATGTTTTGCTCTCTCTAGGACATACAAAAAGGAAGATAGAAGTAACCAGTCAAGGGCAGTAAAATTTATTACATTCTACACTTTAGACTCTGACTAATAATTGCAAAAACATTTTTAGAACAGCTATATACACTCCCATGGCCCCCAGAAAGCAGTGGTGTTGACTTCTTTGGAGAAGCATGTTGCTAAAGGGATTGTTCCCATGAGTTCTCTTTGGAAAGACAGATCAATAGCTTTCTAAGAGACTTTGAGGGAATTCAATTTTAACAAATACATTTTTCAGAATCTTTACTATATTATATGCAAATTCAATTTTCAAGATGTTAAAATTCTTGACTCAGATGAAACATTCAAAAACTCTTACCTTTTGACCAGGTGAGCCTGGAGCACCATGTAAACCATTCTCTCCCTAAAAGAGGTACAGAGAATAATTTTATTAGCCAGAAAAACAAATGAACACAGATATATATTTTTTTCAATCTTTACCAGCTAGCTCTAGTGTTGGAAAAGGTAGTCTATAACAGAATATCTATCATGTGCAGGGGCTTTCCATCTATCCCCAATCTCACAACTCCAGGATTCTCACTTTAACTTTTAACATAAGGAAATAGAGGCTCTGGGAGGTTTGGTAACATGTTCAAGGTCGCCCAACTAGCAGTATTACCTGAGATCTGAATTGAGGTCCTGCTGACTCCACAGCCTATGTTTTTCCACATGCTACTTAATATCCTTTATTTCATTTTCTCTTTCAAACCTCTGGGCATAATATTCAAGTCTGACAGTGCTTTCTATGGGCTAGCCACTGTTCTTACAATGAACCTACCAGGTAGAAGTTACTATTGCTACACCTCAGAGATGATTTCACAAAAAGTATGTGGTAGAACTGGGATTTGAACCTGCACATTTCAGCTCTGTGCATGTCACCGCCTCCCTACACTGTCTCTGGGAAAAGATTTAATTCTGACTTCTTGCCTAAAATCTGAATTTTATATATATGTATAGTATATGTGTGTGTTTGTATATACATACATGAGCATGTTTACTTTCTTACCCATATCTGGTGATTGTCTTTCAATTGATTTTGAAGACATACCTAATGCCATTTTACGTGAAACAATTACTTGGAATAATTTTTAGTTCTTTCTATTCATGTGTCTCAGGTATAAAGATTTTCAGCAGATGCCTGTCAGTTTCCATTACTGGAATTCTCAGTTCATCACTTTGACAAGTCTGGTTTGTAAACATCAACCAGGCTAGAATGAGCTACTCCTGGGAAGATGTTCATATGCTCAATGGAGACTTAGAAAATTAGCTGCTTATAGGAATTTACTTTGGCTCCTGAGTTTCTAGATTCAGACAGCTCAAAATAAACTAACAATTCTATTGACCTACTTTATTTCTATCAAGTATTCATAATTAAGTTGTAAATTAAAAGTTTTAAGCACTATCTAGAAAGCAATTAGATGCCATTTCTTAGAATTCTTTAAACAAAGTTCAAATATATACAGGAAAAAAATAACATTTTCGAGCTTTAAAGTAGTAATAATACATTCTGTGTAAATCTAAAGAGATCTTTATTATTTCATTAATTAATAAATAGTTGGAAAGTTTTAGTGATTTTTACCAGAGATATATGGCTATATACATACACGTATATTATTTTAAAGACTAAGGTTTGTCTTAGATTAGATTAAATTATCAAAGTATTCTACAGTATAACACATATAATATATACTAGTATATATATAGTATATATACTAGTATATATAGTGTTTAGTATATACTAAACACTAAAAGCAAAACTTTGCTGCTATGTATGACTAAGTGTTGAAACATGAATGAATAAAATATAATGTACTTATCTATGTAATAAATACACTTCTATTATTAAAACTTGTTACAGTTTTGGACCTCGGGCATAACACTAGTCTATTAGAAACTTCTAATTTCATTTGATAAAGTAATAGTAAAAGCACATTAAGTATTTGACACCAGGGAACAGTCTATGGAAATGAAGCTTCTGTTACTCATCACAGAAGTATGTCCACTTGTCCATAAGAAGCAGATTATTTTCATCTGTTGACCTAATATAACGTTTTATATCATATTACAACTTATACACAATAACAAGATATGACATATAATCCAGTAAAGTACACTGATACAGTGTACACTGCCAAAATTACTTTTTTTGGGAAAAAAGTCATGAAAGCATCTTCTCTTTTTCTTTGCTCACAGTGCACTCTTCTTACGATCTCTGAGTGCTGGCACCCAAAGTCCTACCTCTGCCATGTGTCAGGTTATGGTTACTCCCAGACACACTGTTAATTTGTTATCTTTAAAGCTGTGATATTGAGAATAAGTCTTCAATGGACACAAGTTTTATGACTGCTGTAATTAAAATATTGTGTTTTCCCACAGTCAGTGTTAATTGGTCTCTGTTCTTTCCTGACTGGGAATTTGTTTTGTAAACATGATTCTAGACCCCGAGATAACCCAATGGGCATCACTAATTATCTCTCAGAGGAAATGAGTTGACCTCACATGACACATCAACATGTGGAAGTTTTTGAAATACTTTGAGATGCTCTACTTAGAAATGTACAATCATTTACAATTTTATTGTTATTATTCTAGTTCACGAGGAATAAATGAAAATATCTGTTTTTGTCTCTATCTCAAAAAAGGGAGAAATTTATTAATTAGCATAAAAACAAAATAAGAAAATAATTCTAAAGAACAATATTTTATTAACAGCAATGGATAATGATGTTTCTGTCCAGACTTTGCCTAAAATGCAATTTATATCAACAGAAGGACACTTTCTTTATGCTTATTCTGATGCCCAGGTTTAAATCTCCAGGTGCTACAGGCAGTTTGGGGTCAAATTTATTTCTGTCTATAAATATCTAGCTAAAGTTACTGGAAGAGTACATATTATTTGCTTTTTTCTGAACTCCTGCTGTCTCTCCTTCCTCCCAATCTCAGCCAAAGGAAGAAATAAGATGCTTCTCCTTTTGCTGAACAATTTTAGTTCAAACAATGAACAATTTTAGTTCTTTGTTTAAAGAAAATTGTAATCAATAATTCCAATAGCAACCATAACTTTCAAAATGTTTCTGAGGCATACACTTTCCATTATAGGATTTTTTTTTTTTTAATTAAAGGGCCTATGTCCCTTTCTGGTTACAAATTCAAACTACAGAAGGGCAAATGAATAAATATGTGTCATAAAAGGCTGGGAAACTCTAATGTTGCTGCTGACAGTGTCATTTCCTGGATTATTACTATAATACATGGCATGTCTTCAACTTCACAGAACAATCAAAAAGCACCTTTTCTAGAATTAAAAATAACCTCTTTGAGAAGCTTTTGGAAAAAACACAAGTAAAATTTAGGGTCAGCTGGTGGCTCTCTGAAAAACTGATCAAAAGATTTCATTTTACCTCCTTTTAATCACTGCACATTTTTTAGCAGTAAACATGGCTAAACATAAAATATAAATTATTAGTTTTCCTGGTTCCTTTAACATTGGAACCAATCTCTTTCTTACTATGTAGGAAATATATGTTATCTGAAGGACATTTGATAAGGAATCACACTCTCTAGGCCTATAGTTTGTAAAACTAGCACCAATAAGACCAAGCAATTAAAGGTAGAACAAGCAGGTAAATAAAAGATTTGCAAATAACTAAAATTAGGGCTAGAAAGCAGAAAGTTATATACTATGTTGTGGTGATTATTTCTTTAAAAAATTAGGCATTCAGCCTTTGATTTAAAAGTCTGAGATCCTAATATAATATTTTAGTATTAAAAAAATAAAATTTGACCTATCATTTCACTTAGAGCATGTTTTCCAGGAATATAACCTTCTATATGAATTTACTGTATACTTGGAAATATATCAGTATTTCCCCTCTAAGTAATTCATATTCACTAGAGGAAAATTTACTCAAATTGAAAGCTGAACGAAATAACTAGAAGTAATATTTGAAGTGTAATGCCAGAATTCTAGAACAAAAACCAGAAAACAGGCAGCCAAAAGTAAATCTGATTTTTATTTTGTGTATCACTAATGTGGCCACTATATTTCTGGCTATAGTCCTGCTTTATTCAGCCATAATCTTCAGATATTGAATTTTTATACAGTTCTTAAACTGTTGGCAGTCTATTAAATATTTCAGGAAATAAAAACTGTAACTGTACCTCCTACTTTTTTTCAGATATCTAATCTTAGTCTTTTTATTTCAGGGAGGAGGATTTTTTGCTTTCTATATTTTGGGACTTCATTCCAAGAAATAAATTCTCAAGTTAAAAAAATATATACTGCATTGAGTTTAAAACCTCAAACTTTTTCAATGTTTTGTATTTGATGGATCCTTAATGCAGCTAACACACGGGGATATATTATCACATTAATGGTCAGGATAAGGCCAACATTCTTAATTTTAAAATAAATGAGATCCCATTATTATTTATTCTTTTTAAAATTTTTATTTTATTTTTTATTTATTTCGGCATATTATATGGGTACAAATTTTAAGGTTTCAATAAATGCCCTTTCCCCCCTCCCTCCACAAGTCTGAGTTTCCAGCATGACCATCCCCCAGATGGTGCACATCTCACTCATTATGTATTTTATTTTTAAAATTTTTACATTTTTTATTTTAAATGATTATGGGTACATACTAGTTGTATATATTTATAGGGTACATGTGATATTTTGATATAGGCATACCATGTGTATTAATCAAATCAGAGTAATTGGAGTGTCCATCACCTCAAGCATTTATCATTTCTTTTTCTTATGGGTCACTTCAAAGAAAGGAAAACCAGCCACCAAAGGTAATGTATGGGCAATAAATGTCTTAATTATAGTAATGTATGGGTTGGTAGTAGTTGCTGAATTCAACATCTACTCTCTCAAAATCTGTCTTGAGTGTATATATATTTGCGTGTACACAAGTATATGCAAGTGCATATACCTGGGGAAAAAAAGCAGGATTGATATTCTTAACTATAAAACAAGTATAAATTTATACATTTATATATAGCACCTTCACCAAAGAATCTGATAATGTACTGACTCTACTGAAAGCTTCTTAAAGTCAGGGACTTTTGTTGTTTAACTTGCATTGTGGAGAGAAAATGGGAAAAAAATTCTATGTGTAGTTACTGAGTCAATGCTTTCTGTACGCAAATTAACCTTTCCCAAATTTCTGCCTATTAGTCTTATTTCTGCTGTGTGCAATTACAAATGAAAAAGGTCTTATAGGTCCTACACATGACCTCCCTTTAGCAAGCCTCCCATTCAATAAACCACCCATCTTTCAAATGATAGTTTGAAGTCTCTTAACATTATGGTCCCTGTCACGTCTTTTAAAATGTGGCACTCAGAACTCAGCACTT